TATCGAATTTTATAATTTCTTTTCTACACATATGTTAATGTTATATGTTAATGTCATATTATCTATCATGTCATCTATCAATAACACATTAATAAAATATGTTAAATTTTCAACAAAACATTGAAAATCCCATCTAATTAATCTATAAAACTTAAATATAAACAAACTTAATGTTTAAATATGAAGAAAAGAATGTCATTGATTAATTTGGATTTTTAAACAAATTATTTATTAAAGTGAAATTATTTAAAAATTTATAATCAACGTAGGCTTGTTTAAAATTGATAGAAGTCATTTTTTAACAATCTAAAAAGAAGTTGACAAAAAATAACCTCAAGTAATTTTTTGAGGTCACAACCAAAAAATAATTGATCACATTATCGTAACATTAGCTAAAACAATTTAGAGTGACTTTCTGTAACTGTCAAAAAATAATCACGAGAAAATTAAAACAAATTTATGTCAATGATCATTAATTTTCTTAAGACTCAAAATATTACAAAAATTATCATAATTAATGAAAATAAAACTTAAATTTTTATATTTTTATTACTCTAACTCCTTTTTCCAATTACTAGACTAAATTTAATAGTCATCATTAGTTAAAAAATATCATTTTGATAAATAATTAAAAAAAGAGTTAATCACCTATACATTGTCAGTGTAAAGTTTTTTTTACACTGACAACCAATTATATCTTTTAATTGTGTCATGTCACTGTTAAAAGTAAATGTGTTTACAGTGATATTGCACAATTAAAAGATATAATTGGTTGACAGTGTAAAACAACTTTAGTGTATAAGTGATTAACTCTTAAAAAAATGTATCAAGTATTTTTCGCCAAAATTAAGAAAATATCTCCTAAGGGCATTATGCGCACATGAAAATGAAACGAGTCTTCAAACTTCTCAATCAATACTAAGGATAGGGACTTTCGTACAACATTGGTCATGATAATTATACTTTTGCCTTAATCACCCGTCAAGCATCAAGGTTTGCATTAGATTCTCCCGTGTCTATAATATTTTTTCCCCCAACAGAAAGGCTAGAGCAAGGGACCTAACTAAAAAAATGTGGTCTTCTTACACCAAAAGCTTCTCAATTAACTCATTTAATTGCATCAAGCTGGGAACATATATCTTGAAGGCTTCATGGAAACACATTTTTATCTCCTTTTTGACTTTCTTGTTTTTTGTTTCATAGTTCGTGTAGGTTAATTAGGATGAATTCTACTCGTTGTTGAAGTAACTGAATTACTCATATAGATTTGGATCAACTTTATGTGGTCTATGTTTCTAATTATATTCTTATTGTTTTTCATTGATTAATCACCCTATATTCCATTGGTGTTTTACCTTTGTATATTGCAATATAAATTAGTAATGAGGCTAGATCTCAATTAGGAACCATATGTTTCAAAGATCTAAGGATATAGAATATGATTCATGTACACTTTTATGGTCGACTTCAAGAACTTAATGTTTTTCTTTAATTGAAATTCATCAAAGAAATTAGGGTTACAATTAAAGGAGAAAAGAATTCATCATAAGAATTGAGTTAGACCCCCATTATAGTATACTGGAATGCTGTAATTGGATGGAATTGATTATATATAATTGAAGTAGGAATGAGATTATATTATGTGAATGTAGAAGGATTCTAACACCTAATTAATACTGATTATTCATTCATAATCTTTATTGAATATTTAATATAATTTTTTAGAAGAGTAATTCTTTGTGCTTGCATTTCATTCCATTGTATTCATTCAATTGCATTGTTGCATTGTATTGTATTGTATACTTAATGTAGAAATTGTTAGTTATATATTACACTTATTAATGGTTAGTTAAATTAGCAATAATAACTTGATAGTATAGGTAGTTAATTGGGTGTCCATCGATCAAATTATTGAGATAAATAAATGGACGCAATTACTTGGAACCATTAAAGCAAATTTATCTTATTTGTGTGAAGAGATTTGAATATCTTTTTCTCAAAAGATTTTCAGCATTTATTTGTTTCTACATAAATTAAATTAATTGTGAAATCTTTTTATGTAAAAGTGATTTTTAAATCAATATTTTTAATTAAAAAAAATTTAAATTATTAAAAATTAGGATTGTTAATAACTTGGTTTGGTTAGTACATAATAACTAAAATCATTTTTAACAATAAATGTAATTGTTATTTTTCTTTTGTTTGAAGGATTAAAGCAAGTGGTTCTATGGTGTAGTGGTTAGCACTCTGGACTTTGAATCCAGCGACCTGGGTTCGACTCCCGGTAGGACCTGATTTTATAACCTTAAACCTTTTGTCTAAATATTTGATTTTTATGGTCATCATTCTGAAGCTGTGCAGGGACTCTGATTTATTAAATCAAATCAACTCTTACACTGAAATGAAGTGACCCAAGTAAACAATAAATACAATTTTAATGTTATTTATTATTTTTATAATTAAATAACCTCTTAAAAATAACGTTACCTCTGTTTTTCTTATACTAAACAATTTAACTTCATTTTTTAATTAAAGCAAAAAATTAAGTTACTTATTTCTTTTTTTTCTTCTACATTTTATTACCATTCTGTACTTTCTTTCAACAAAACAAACTTAATTTTCATTATTTTACGAAATATATAACAAACAAAATGCCGCAAATTGTATTTTTTAATTATATTATTAGTGTGAAATATCACTTGTTTTTTCTTGATTAATATTTACTAGAAAAGTTGATTGGTCATCTTTGGCGATGTATATTCTTTTAACCACATATTTTCTATTTATATAAAACTCGAATTCAAGATTTAAGTCAAGGGACCCATTTTTTTTTAACAAAGTCAGCATGAGTCCATAAATTGGTGATCCATCTAACACTGTAAGCACATGGCACATAAAAAATGCCACAATTGTGAACCTCTTTATTTTTGCAATCACATTGACATAAAGTATTATTGATTTTGTTAATGACTAATATCCGTAAATAATTTTAATGGATCATAGTGGAGTCACTCCTTTCAAGCACGTTTTTCTTATCCATAATACTAAAATTTGAGACTTTGCTTAAACAAACAACATGCATAAAAATAGAAGAATATTTGAAGAATAACTTGAGCAATCACGAATTGAGTTATCTTAGAAAGTTTTTGGTCAAAAGTAAAAGTAGTTTTGAATTTTAAAAAAATAAATGAATCAACTTTTTTCCAAGCCAATCAATTTTATTGTATAAGAAAATAATGTTCACATAGATTCAAAATAAAAGATAATAACATTCATTAAATATTAAAATTTGGTGAGAATTAGTTTAATTAAGAGAAAAAATTAATAAGACTTGTAATTTGGTGTAACATTTACATGTAGTTGTCTTCTTAAAAACCAATGAAATTTGAATTAACTAAGTGGATTCCAAGAAAGTGATAAACAACATATATTATGATACATATTAAAATTTAAATAGAAAACAATAATAAAAGAAATAATTAGAACATAATTAATAATAGGTCAAACAAATACCTGGAACATGAATAATAATAGGTGGTGTAGCAATCTATCAACCAAACTAAAAACCAGTGATTTAAAACCCGGATCGAACTGGTCAGTCGAACCGGGAATCGGTGGTCCAGCCGGTCTGAATCTTAAGTTGGATCGGTTATGCAGTCGACTCATTTCAAACCAGATTGAACTGGTCAATTTTCCGGTTCAATCGATAAACCGGTGAGTCAAACCGGTTCAACAACTTTTTTTCTTATTTTTTAAAAAAAAAATTTAAAGGTACCATAAACCACAAAAATAATAATGAAAAATAAATTTCTTAATGAAAGAGCAAAGAGTTTTATTAAATATAACAATGACTACTTGTTCTAATGTATTTGTTTGTAATATATATAACTTAAATAACTTTTATAGTATATTATTAATTTTAAATTATATATTTAATAATATAATATTTATGTAGATATAACATATATTATTTTATGATATCAATTGCAAGCATATTATATATGTACATATTATTTATATTTTTAATTTGTATTAATATATAATTTAACATGCAATTTTTTATGTATTTTTTACAAAATAAAAATAAAACTAATTTTAATAAGATAAAAAAATTAAAATTTAAAATAAGATATGAATTTATTAAAATTTATAAGTATAAAATGTATTTAATATGAATATTTTTTTTAATAAAAATTGAGTCATACAGTTCAACTAGTGATCCACCGATTCAATTTCTTAACCGGTTTGATGAGCAGTGCAACTTTTTAAACTATGCTAAAAACTACATGAACCGAACCGCCAATTAAGAATGGAAGTTGGGATTTGGAAGACCTCACGTGTCCCCCTTTATTTTATTTTGTACATTACATTTAACTGTTTTTAAATTGACGATCGAGATTTTTTTTCCCTTTTTTTTTTTTTTCCTGATTTGCCCCTATTTGAGATTATTGTTTTCAAGACCAGAACCTCTCCTTTTCTATTCTGCAACTTTACTCTCTTATTTTTAGTTAATTTTCCATGACTTGTAGGACCTTCTTTAACAGTTGATAAACAGTCTTCCTTATTTTTTCTCACCGGTATGACTTTCTTTTCTTCACCTTGCTTTATAAAGGAAATAAAAGCATAAAATAAATCAAAATTCTTTCGTAAATGAAAATCAATGCCCCGTCCTTTTTAAAAATTCATTTTTTTTCAAAAACTGAAATGTATAAATTTGAAACCAAAATTTCAAATAGAAAATTAAGAACTTTAGTCAAATGTTAATTCAACTAAAAAATAATATTGTAGATTCAAATAAAACTGAAGTTGATCATTTTTAAAAAAGATTTTAGGTTCGAATCTTATAAATCAAAACACGTAATTAAAAAAGAAAGCTTCATTAAAAATACCCAATCAAATTTCTCAACAAAAATTAATTATTAACGATGAACATTTTGCACCAATAACATGATAAAAAAATTGTCTAATTCAACTTAAGTTTTCTCCGATTGAAGTGAAGCTAACGACACGATAATGCTGTGCAAATAAACTTCCAAAAAACAATACACATTTAGAAGTCCATGTGTTTTCATAAACTTATATAGCTAACTAGGAACAAACCAGTTTTAGCATCCAAAATGTCCTCGAGCTTCACAATTGGGGGATTAAAACAAACCGAGTTTAAGACACAAGTTCAAGATGTACATAATCAGCTAGATTAAGTCTCTTTATGCAGGAATATCTACATGGGGGAATTTCACTTCTTTCACCTCTCTGAGCCCTTGAAGGGCACTTCCTCGAAGTGTGTTGAACATGAAAGGCAAGAGCTTAGTGAGCAGGATGAGTGAAAGAGGTGAATGCACGGTGTGCATGGACAGCACATGCACAATGCACAGATGTCAAATTGAGGCAGCCACTCATGATGAGTGAATGCCTCCCCGAGCATGTGTGAAGAGAAGGGAATGAGTCACAAACCGCTTGAACTGCAGATGGGGTGAGTGCAGTGCATTGGCTTATGTTCAAAGTCCTTAAACCTTCCTCATCATTTTCTCCTTTCACAGATCCCCACATCCTGTTATTCACCTTGCTGTGTGCCAACGAATACATTGCCCTGTCTGTGATGTTCTTGCAGTAGTACAGTCCAAGGGACCTCAGATGGGGGCATCTGTTTGCCAAAGCAATCACACTATCATCTGAAATATGTCAATATCAATGTTAAAATTCTACTCATCATTCAACGAAAAAAATGTTTAAACCAAATGGAGGAGCTTCTATGATTTAAATAAAGTGAGAGCTACGAGGACCAACAGAATATAGATTTTCATACTGATTAGGACAATTGATTTTTTTTTTTTTAACCATGATATTGCTACAAAGTATCTCTAGGGATATATTTATCAAAAGGAGAGTGTAAATAATGTTTTCACTTTGTTCTCAATTGTGTAGGAAATAGTGAAAACAACTTATTATTCCAACACCCACACAAATTTAAACTACTGAAGTTTAGAACAAAATACCTGTAATACGGACACACCCACACAAGTCAACTGTCCTAAGATCAGGACACCCGTATGCTAAAGTAGTCACTCCAACATCACCAACGTTATCACACCATCCAAGGTTCAAAGATTGCAACTGGTTGCAGTATTGTCCAATAGCCTGCATTTCATTTAGTCAATGGGTTATAAATTATAATTCAAAGCAATCTTACTTCATATATGATTAAGAAACCAACTAGTCTATCATAATCATGCCTGTAATGCAGTATCAGATGCAGCTCTAACACATCCACAGAGATTTAGAACTTTCAGTTTTCTGCAGAAACTGGCAAGATAAGCCAGAGCATTGTCACTAAATGCTGAACACCCACTGATGTTGAGTTTTGAAAGATCACGGCAACCTAGAGCAACAGCATAGAGTGAACGATCAGTTAGCTTGAAGCTTTTGCTAAGGTCCAGGATCTGCAGTTCATGACAACATTTTGCTATAATCTCAACAGCATTATCCTCTAGTTGAGGCTTGTCTTGACGAAGGATTAGAATTTGCAGTTTTGCGAATTTAGGCACAAGAGAAAGCACCAAGTTATTCATGTTCTTGCTACACCTGGAGAGAGATGAATTGCATAATCCTGTCATTACTTCATTCCACAATAACTACATGCACTTCAACAATCAGTTTCTTTCCCAACACACAGCCTAACTAACTACAAGCACTGAATCAAAACAAGTATTCTGCAAAACAAATACTTTTATGAAAAATTTTTGAGCAGAGGCCAAAATTGGAGGCAAATGAAGTACTTTCAAGAAATAGATTTTAATCACCTAACAAAAAGTAATAATACCAAATTGACTTCAAAGTAAAAACTAGTTACCAATGATTTCCAAGGAACATTAAAATTTTAAAAAACTCAAGATTTTCATTCATGTTAAAAATTATTTTTAAGAATTACCCCAACGTAATTCTTGGGGTAAACCAAAAGGAGGGAGGGGGTTACTACGTAACTGCAGAAGAAAACATACAGCTTTGGTATCTTTAAATTCATCAGGGGTGAAAGACATAGATTAGACAGCTTTGCAGTTCTATCACCAGAACATCTTGACAAAGAAAAAATTAAGATTTGAACAACCCCACAGCAAGTAACCCATAAGACACATCCTTAATTGACTTAGCAAGTTAAACCCCTTGTTTATCCCAGCTCATTCTTAATAATTGAAAACAAGCCATCAAACTCAGAGATCCTCCAATTCCCTAAACAAAAGGAAGCAATTCAGCTCAGTGCCAACTACCAAGCAGAAGGGAACGAAGGAATCATACACAAAAACAGTACCGGGATCAGGAACTACACAATGGCAAAATTAATTCACAGAAACAAGCAAAAGGAACCAGGAAAACATGGCTCAAAATCCCCAATTAGAGAGGAACAGAAAAGAACCATCAAGGCAAAACAAGAACAGGTACACACAGTCTCAAGAGATAAAAACAATATACCATGAGAGTGATAAACGAGCAAGGCCAAAGTAAATAGCATCTCTCCAGCCACGACATACTCCAGAAGCTGTGATCACGGTCTGATCATCCACAAGGGACAAAATTTGCATCAAAAGCTCCACAGGAATATCCTTCCACTCGGTGATCACCCCAAGCTTCATCATGTTCATCCCTTTCTCACTGTTCCCGCTCGCAGCCACCATCATAAGTTTCTCAAAGCACAAGTTCAAGTCCTCAGCCCTCAGGTTATTATCCTTGCCAACCATTTCACTTTCACCCCAACAAAAAGCTTCAATCTTCCCAGCTGTCGAAAGGAAAAACAACAGATAAGGCATAGAGAATCCCTAGATTAATAGATTTAAGATATCGAAAAATATAGCTTGTAGCTAAACGATAACAATCACCACAAACCAAGAAAAATCCATGCGGCCAAGCAATTTGCAAAGAAAGCAACAGAAAGATACACAAACAAACAAATAAATACAAATTATTATAATTATAAGGGGATTCAGCACATTACATAAATACCCGTCACTTGTTTCTCAATTACATGATTAAGACGTTGTTGAAAATTTCAAACTTGGTGATAGTGGCTCAACGGAGAGATCAATTCACGGGAATGATGACCATAAAGGTCCCTTTTTTATAATTTTTTTTGGCATACATAAAATTGAAACCGGAAACAAACTCATAAAGGAGAAGGGAGCAAAAAAAAAGGATCAGAAACAAAAGTGGGGGAAATCGAAATCAAAATCAAAACTTGTTTTCTGATCAAAGACATGAAAACAGAAAACAAATGAATGTGATGAGAGGGAGGAAGAAAGGCAATACCTTTTCCTGTTTTTCCTTTGGAAACAGAGAAGCTGGATTGTGCTTCTCTGAGATGGAGTGCGGGAGGAGAAGCTCTAAAAAGAAGAGGGAGAGAAAGGCAAGCAACGTTACGCTGCCACGTGTACGTATGATCAATGTGTAAGAGCATCTGCGATTCCCGACTACTTTAAATGGGTCTCACTGTGTCACGTCACTCTTAAACAACTCATTCTATATTTTTACAATTTTTATTCTAATGAAAATTTCTTATAAGCATCCTTACTTTTTTACAATTCATACTACACTTTTTGACACTTTATACTACACTTTATTATAAATTTTTTAAAAATTAATTATTATAAATAATATATAAATATGAATAACAAATAAAAGAAATTACATAATAAAAAATTATAATAATAAAAAGAAATAGCTTAGTATATCCTACAATAAAAAATTAAAAGACTATTTTATTTGAAAAAATATTTTCTATTTTTATCTTTAAAAATAATTTTTATTTTTAAATTTTTAGATTTAAAAAACTTGTTTAATTTGAGTTCTTGTTTTCTATTTAGAAAATAAAAATATTAAAAATGTGTTTTATTTAATTATTTTTTAATAAAATTTTACGAAATGTATTTTTTTATTATAAAATATAAAAAATAGAAAATAGAAAATAAAATATAAAAAATAAAAACAGAAAATAAAATATAAAAATAAAAAATAAACGTCTCTCTCGTTCCTCTTTCTCTTTCAAGCTCTCTTTTTTCTTTCTCTTAATCTCTCTCTCGTCTCTCATTCTCTCTTGTGGTTGGTGGCTGGTGGCTGGTGGGTGTTGGCCATGGCTGGTGGCTGGGGGCTGGTCGGGGAGAGCATGCGCGCGACTGAGGGGGTTCGGTTGGGGGTTTCCGCGCGCGGGGCTGGGGTCCGGCCGGTCAGGGGGTTCCGTGCACGGCTAAGGGGTCCAGTCGGAGGTTTTGCTCGCGGCTGACGGGGTCGGTCAGGGGTTGCGCGCGGCGGAGGTTTCCAGACATGCATGAGCTCTGAGAACATGGCCACTGGAGGGAGTCGACCAAGAGCAATAACAGGTGAGGAAGTTTTATCAGTTTTTTTGTTTGCAAAACCGTTCCACCTTGGATGACCCTCATCCAATCAAATCTCTTCATTTTCAATTTTACAGGGTTAAGAACCGTTGCTTCTGCAAGCAACAAAGAGAAAAATTTAAGAACCCTTACTGCCACGTAGATTTACTCCAACGGGGATTTCTTGTAAGCACCGTTGCTTACAACTAAGACACGCAACAAGCACCTCCCGCTGGAGGTGCTCTAAGATAATTATTTGGGAAATATGTGATATATAAAGAGACTAATAAATAAATAATTAAATAATTCAAGACTAAATCATAAATGAGTTTAATAGAGTATTTATGAGAATAATTGTTATTTGATGGAAATAACAATTTTTAGAGGTTATAAATATCCACTTATGTAAGACAAGTTTACATTCCTAACAGAAAGTATTTTTTCAAATCTTAGCCATCACGAAAAATAGAGAGTAAAAAGAAAAGTTAAAGAGAGTGAAATCATGGTTCTCTTCTCAAGAAGATCAAAGTACTTTAAGGATCAAAGAAGTTTTCTAGTATGAAAAAAGATACACACTTTTTTATTATTATGTAAGTATCATGAATTTCAAAGATCCTTTAATTTTCTATAATTGATATAGTAGAAAATCATTAGCTTCCACAATGCATCAGCATTCAGCAACAGGTTAAGTGGGTCCCAAGTAAAGTACTCCACTTTGATCAAAATGGAGGTCAGCACCGAAGACTAGTTAAGAAAATAAGGAAAGGAATTTCTCTTATCTCCTTCACTTTGAGAAAATAAAATTGACAATGGTAACTCTGTAAAGTAAGGGGTTTTGCAACTGTTCTTTTTTATTATGTATAATTAAGGATATAAAACTGTAAGTAACTATACATTACATCATTTAAGGTTGTACTATCAGTTATTTAGTTCTAACCGTAATGTTTGACACGAGTGACTTCTTTCTCTCAAAGTAATTGAAGTTGAAGAATTTTACACACAAATTAATAATAATTTATTATTTCTTATGTAATTTTATTAAAATAATTTTACTGTTACAATGAACATATTATTTTTAATTATACTGATCAAATAATTTATGAAAGAATATATTAGTAAAAATTAATTAACATTATATAGAAAAATGAAAACATCAATCATTTTAAGATATTTTTAAATATTAAAATTGTAATTAATTTGAGATAAAGGGAGTAATATGCTTTTATCGCTATACCAACATCATACTTGTTATAAAGTTTATTTAATTTTAGATGCTTTAATAAATTATTAAAAAAAAATCAACATGACAGAAACTTAATATTTATTAATTAAAAAAATTAACGGAACCAAACCCTTCAAACCTATATTATATCTAATTGTTTTAAGGATAGTTATAATCGTATACATTCCATTTTGCGAGTGGAATGTGAAGGGAATGGGAGATAAATAGAGATAGGAAAAATGTAATAGAAGAGAAAGATAAAATCATAGCAACATATTCTTTCTAAAAATTTATAAAATTGTGTGGATATTATTAATGTACTATACTCTTTCATTTTATAGATTTTTAATATATTTTAATTAATAAAAATACATTTATATCGTATAGATTTTATGTATGCAGCTGCGTTAAAATCTTAAGGTCAGTTATTCTTACATTGGAGGCACCTTAAAGGTGAGATAAGTTTATAAGCATTGGTGCATTGATAGTTATATATTTTCCTTTTCCTTGTGGTAAGGTAATATAAAAATGAAAAGTAGGGGCGTGTGTACAAGTTAGTGTTTGTGCAAAACCGAAACCGCCCCAAAAAGCCGAAAATGGCGAGCATCTGAACATGCATAGGAAAAGCCAGTTTTGCTTGCTGTAATGCAATTACCTTCATTTGATTTTGTTTTTTATTTTATTTTATTCTATATGCCTTCAATCCTTGTGACTCTGATCTCACAACTCACGATTGCAAAACATTTACAACTTAATTAGCCTGTGCTATATTATGATTTATGAACATAAACCCTATCAATCAATTTATTATCAAAAGTAGAGATATAGGACACAAGTCACATCGTAGGGCTGCAAATTGCAATTAATCTCCTTGATGGAGGTCACTTCTCTTATTATTAGTTAACCAATCTGTAATCATGTTCACCAACGGTATATATTATCTTGATTAGTAGTTATTATGTCTTCAACATCATGTTTTCTTAAATTAGTAGTTTGATTGATGTAACTTCTGTTTAATCTATCGGGATACCCCAAAATAAATCCACATGCTTGTTATGGTAATTAAAGTTACTAATTTATTATCATAAGTATATTTTTTCATATTACATGACATGACTAATATATTATCATAAATTTGTTGTTTATGCCATGCTAGATTATTTTCCTCCTTTAGGAGGCCCTACAGAATTTCAAGCGTAGTGGCACGGGTGTTTGATTGTTGAGCTAAAACATTAATTAGTTTGATTTTTTGTGTTGCAAATATGTTAGATTACACTGGGGACAGGGACACCAACTCCTAAAAAAAAATTAAAATATGAAAATAAAAAGGTAATTATTAATAAGAGACAGGGGAAAATTGATAAAGAAAGAATATTATGGGTTGTTGTTGATGCGTGTAAGCATTTTATTTTGGCATTAAGTGCTTTGGAGAGCTTAGTTGGCGACTTAGAGGTGGCGTCTTGGAAACCTTTATGCAAAATTAAAAGAATTGATTTGAACCAATTCTTTTGTGTTTATCTGTGCTTTCGGATCGTGGAGGTCAATCAAGGAGTCATTGTAGAAAGATAAATGTTAGCCATAGTCTTTTAATAGGATCTTTTTCACGTATTTTTATTAATTAAAATTTAATGAAATTATCAAATTATTAATGAAGTTTAATAAATAAATGTATGTTTAATTGCACGTTTAGTCTTCTTACAATATTAAATTCGCAATTTTAATGCTTTTATAATTTTAATTTCTTAATTTTATAAAATTTATACATTTCTTAAAAATTTATCTATTCATTGATAAAATTATAATATTAGTCATAGTGTAACATTGAATAAATAATATAATAATTAATATTTAGACTAATTTACTTTTTTAATTTTCAATTTTATCTTATAAAAATGATAAAAATAAAATGAAAATTTGATAAAAATGAGAATTAAAAATATAAATTAGTCTAAATATATATTATTAAAATTTAATAAGTATGTCATCTATCTAATATAAGTAGATCGCGAATAATTTTATAATTTTTGACGATTAACAGATAAATATTTAATTAAAAAAATTAAAATTTTAAATTTTATTAAATTGAGAGGTTAAAATTATATATTTAATATTATAAGGGACTAAAAGTGTAATTTGTCCTTAAAGAGTAAAATTAATTAGGTACTTATAATTTATACCTCCATTCTTTACATGCACCTTCCTTGAGTAAAGGGACGTGGGAAAAAAAAAAGGTAGAATTTATATATAATATTTAGTTTAATATAACCTATGAAATCCCATTTTATTTTTTTTACCAATTATAAAATTGTTGATCCAAGTTTTATAAGTATATATTTCTAAAATTTCACTGTCAATATATAAAAATATAATTTTGTTTAGTTTATTCTTTAACTGTTTGACCTAATTAATAATAAATAAAATATAATAATTTTAATTCAAAAAATTCTTTAACAATAACAATATTTAAAAGCATTGTCAAAAATAGTCTAGAAGCAATGCGTGTATTTAATGATAATACAATCTTTTAATATAATTTAATATACTTTTAAGTAAAGTATGAATTATTTTTTATATTTCATTTATATATAATGTTGTCGGTGTAATTTTTTTTTCTGCGCGTATCTAACAAAATTTATCACCTCATCCTATTTATTGATATGAAATGGCGATAAGGTGAATTCCTATTGGATATATATGTAAAAATGTTTTGCATTAATAATGCTTATAAATTAAACTCTTATTTTGTATTTGTACTTCTTGTAATGTTTTTGTTTTAAAAAATAAATTCATATCTTAGTATTATAATAAATGTTAGAACTTGTCACTTTAATATTATAATACTAAAATCTGA